CAACATTTCTGATAAGTCAATGATGTTTTAATTCCAACACTCTTACCCCTCCCTCCCTCCCCTCTCCTCCCTCCTCACCTCCCTCCCTCCCCCTCCCCGCCTCCTCCCTGCCTCCATTCCTCTCCCTCCCTCTCTCTCTTTCGTTCTCTCTCCGCCCTCTCTCCCCCCCCCCCTCTCTCTCTCCATCCTTGCCCGCTCCCAACTCTGTGCAGCCCTGCGTCTGCGGCGTGGGCGCACTGCCCGCCGCGCCGCTGCCGACCGGGCCCGGCCCGGCCGGCGCGGCGACACACAGCAGGCCGCCATCTGCCCGGCCTGTTTTCCAGCGGCTTAGTCAGCCGGCGGCCGGAGCGCCGGCGACGCCGGGGGTGTTATCTTTGCAATAACACCCAATTGAGACGATTTACTTAAAACAACATGATTGATTAGTCATAGAGATTTCGGCGGCACATAAAGATGATGGAGCGGCGGCCGAATGGCCGACGACGGCCCGGGCCGGCGTGCAGCGGCGCGGAGCGGGCCTCGCGGGACGAGCGGCGCGGGGGAGCCGCAGGCAAGAACGCGCCCGGCTGAAAGGCGGCGGCCATTGATGGTGACCTCCCTCGAAGCCGGCGCACAGCGGCGCGGACACATGGGCCGGTGGCGTCAGCCAACCGCGGTGAGGTTGAGGTTGGACAGAGCGGCGAGACTGTGACAGGTTGCAGGAATGTCTCTGACGGGTCTTGGCCAGTAACAGGAGCGTCTATTACGGGTCTTGACACGGTAACAGGAGTGTCTCTACGAATGTTGGCCGGTGACTAGGAGTGTCTATCACGGGTCTTGACACGGTAACTAGGATGTTTCTAACGGGTCTTGGCCAATAACAGCACCGTCTCTGGCGGGTCTTAGCCAGCAACAGTAGTGCCTCTGAAGAATCTTGGCCGGTAACAGGAGTGTCTATTACGGGACCTCGACGCGGTAACAAGATGTCTCTGACGGGTCTTGACCAGTAAGAAGAATGTCCTATTACGGGTCATGACCTGGTAACAGCCCACGACAGGATCAGGCGTCTCTTCTGTCCCTGAACGCCACGGTCCGCCGTTCGCCAGTGCGTCGCCCGAGGTGTCCCCGACACGACGCGACCGTTTTTAGGTCAGACGGAGCCGCGAGCGGCCGAGATCTGTGAATGAATTCCGTAGCGGCCGGCGCCGATGCCAGCGCGGCCCTCAGCCCAGCCGTCAATTAGAGGTACCGGTTATTAAAAACATCTGCGCGCAGGCGGGCGCCGGTCGGCGGACGCGCCGTCTGCCGTCAGCAGCGCCGCGCCCGCTGGCAGCTACACCCCGACGGCGGAGGCGGACGACGCGCGGCGAGCGTCGAGCGCCGGCCGGAGCTGCGGCGGACCGCCGCAGAGACGGCCCCTGTCCCGCCACGACATGTTTGGCTGGTTCCGTTTCAGGTTGACGGGCGGGAATTTTGGGAGATTGATTGGGCTGCCCGCTTATTTGAGGTGTGATGCTGCATGGTGTTAACTCCTCCGTTGGCATTGCGTCTGACAGTGTTTGTGTTTTTGCTTTCGATCTGAAAACCACTCCTATAACCAAACATCGATCAGCTAAGCGATCATTAAAATACCAGGAGCAATGTTCTGCCGACGCGTTATTTGTGTCCAGGTATTGGTGGTGAAGGTGAAGTAGCACTACTTCACCAGGTCGACATAATCTCGCACGACTTGATACGCTTTTGTGATGGATTTGCAATTCATCTAACGTGGTGCACCACGTCAAGCCCACACAATGAGGGAGTGAGTACGTTGTACGGTTTACTTTAAATGCCTAGTTTGATGCTAGGGTTTGAAAATGATGGTCAATTGCTTCTTGACGAGATACTGTATTAGTAATATTTCATGCTAAAAAGCCTGCAAAGGAAGGAAAAGCATGAACTTAGCGACGCGGGAAAGGCTCTTTAGGTACGATTCAGAACCGCTCTAAATCCCTGTGTGCAACGACATTTAAAAAAAAAGAATTAGGGAAGGAAAGCGCTTCGTAATTGTGCTGATTTTTTAACATACGAAGACTACTCGCCAAAATCTAAGGAAGTAGCATCCTACTTCCTCAGAGGTCGAGGCATCTTCGCTCAAGCCGTATTCACTTCTTAGATAAGACAGTAGCATTAGCCCTATTCCTCGGAGAGAGACCAGGAGAATAGAGACATAGTTGGGTTGATATTCCGGCAACATGCCTTCATCGAAACAACAGCAAAAGTGTTATTGTTTCGATCCTTCTGCCATTGTTTCGATAAAGGCATGTTACCGAAATATCAACCAACTATATCTCCATTCTTCTGTTTTTTCTTCGAGGAATAGGACTAATACTCATGTCTTATCTATGTGAATAATGTTCCTCGCTGATGCACTGAACAGCTACGTAACATTTACTACTTATATTAACGACATGAGCACAATCTTCATGTGCTCCTGCTACAATGTTATTATACCTTACCGGGCTACTCTTCACACTTTCGGCATGTCAACCAGCGATGGCAGGTGTTAGCAAGCCAGGAAAAGCTCGACAGACAAGGCTTCATTAAGAACGCTGCGTGGCGTCTCACCATTTGTTAGGGGCGTATAGCTATCCGGACTGCTGTAGCTGCTCTGCCGGGTATTGTAGTACGCAGTGCTGCTGCTCTGAAACAGACGAAGGCCAATTACCAAACACATCACGCTAAGGCGCCAAGTGCGAGAGGCGCAGGTTTGCGGCGTGTTGTAAGTTATTTACGACCGCGCAGTGCCGACTCTGAGCATTTAGGGGATTACCTACATCCGGTCACAGTATGATAGGCACGGAGGGTCAGGACATTCCGCCTCGCCAGGTGTGTGGATCAGCGATAGCAGCTGGTCGCTTTCACTTCGGAACGAACACGCTTCAAATTCGGTCATCTGGAAACCAGTTTCAGCAAATATAGAGTAGAAAAGTCGCCCACATTATGGCTGGAATTTAATTCATGACAACCAATTTTACCCCGAGACCAGTGGGAGACCACAATAGCTCCAATTGCTTCGTGACCGATGGGCACGCGGATTTCCTTAGCCAAACCAACGGCTACGTCCGCTCGCGACCGTGTCACACATTATAAGTCGCAGCCTGTAGTTAATTGGCTCATTGTGCTGGCATTAAGCCAAACAATGACATTAAGGCATAGTACTGTGCCGCACATTAGCGGTTTGGCGCATGGTTTTCTTGTATTTTGCCTTTAATTAACTTTCATTCTCTTGTTCCGCGAAAGAACCAACAGTAAGCAGCTGGGGCGCAGCTAAGTTTTTATTAAGGAGGGTGGGCAGGGTTGGGAGGGGGGGGGGGGCAGCGGAGTTCTGTGAATACGGGTCACGCTGATCTTAACTTTCTATCGAGAGTCTCATATGGTGAAAAAATGAAAAATTGGGCCTGGAGGGCGTAGGAGGGGCAACCTTGGCTATGCCCCTGGTCAGTGCGCGCTAGGATAATGTTGTGTGTGTACGTGTTTTCCCTTCTGGACTTAAAGTGTGCCTATTTCTTATATCCAGGCAAAATGCTTGCATTCGCGCCTACCCGGCCCTGTCCGAGATGTCCCGATGTCCGCGATGATGGTCATGGCCGATTTCTCAACCTTGCACTTTATGCGTCTGCCCGCTTTGTTCCGCCGTCTTCCTTCTCCGCTCACAGATGACGCTCGATCCCCGGCTGGCGGACACGCTCTCTGGCGGCGGTGCAGTGGGCCGTGCTATGGCCGACGCCACGGCGAGCCACGTGAGGCCCGCCCAGAGCCGGAGCCGAGTCAACAACTGCACCAGGCGCGCCAGCGGCGGAGCGAGAGGCGTCCGCCTGATCCGGCGCCTTGACGGCCGCCTCAGGCGCAGGCGGAGCGAGCACGCTCGCCGCCGGTCCTCCGCGGCCGACACCGCCTGCCGTGCTAGGCGACATTTGGTAGTAGTCTTTGTCTGTTTTAAGCGTTTAAGTGTTTAAAGCGACCAGTGTGGGTTTCCTTAGAGAGCCCACAACAAAATGATTCAACTCCCAAATGATGGCTGGGATTCAGTTGATTCCGATTGAATGGGTTGACAGAAGTTTGGCAATGTACAATTCACAGGAGAAGTAGGACAGAAACGGGGAAAGAGAATGGCGGAAGAGATCCAAATTACCGTTTTACGATTTAAAATGACAAGTTTTACAGAGAATGTAGCGAAATGCGAGGCCGAGTAACAACAAATATCACTAATGTTCGAACAGCTCAAAGATGATAACATAGGCTCTGAAATTTTGGTTAGGGCCACATTTATGAACCTCATAAATGATAATGTTATCCCCAGCACACATGATACAGACGGGAGGATGAAGCGTACTCCTTCACAACGTCCCATGGATCTCTTTCTTAAATCGATTGGGTAAATTGGATCGGCCAACGTTACACACTTCTCTACACCTATGGGCCACATATCAATGGGCAGGGCCCTCCGAGCGCCGCTGAAAATCAAGCAGACTTTTGTCGGCCGTGAGTCAGACACTGTCGTGAGTTAGACACTGTCGTAAGCCCGACACTGTCATGAGTCCGACACCGCAGTGAGTCCGACACTGTCGCAAGCCCGACACTGTCATGAGTCCGACACCGCGGTGAGTCCGACACTGCCGCGAGCCCGACAATGGTACTGCCGTGAGTCCGACACTATCGTGAGTCCGACACTACCACGAGTTTGACACCGCCGAGAGCCTGACACTGCCGTGAGCCCTGCCGTGAGCCTGACACTGCCGTGAGCGCTGCCGTGAGCCTGACATTGGCATGAGCCTGACATTGCCGTGAGCCTGACACTACCGTGAGCACTGTCGTGAGCCTGACACTACCATGAGCCATACCGTGAGCCTGACACTACCGTGAGCCCTGCCATGATCCTGACACTGCCGTGAGCCCTGCCGTGGGCCGGCCGCAAAGCGAGCCGTGCCGGCGCCGCGGGCGGCCGGCCGGCGCCGTCGACGGCGGGTGACACGCGGCCGGCAGGTGGCGCTGCGTCGTTACCGACGGCGCCGACAGCCGCGCTAATCAGTTGTCAGCCGGCCCCATTGTCTGCGCGCGGGCTGAGCCTCCTCCGGCGCGCCGGCTGCGGGCGAGCGCGCGCGCCGACACGCTTCTACGAATGCGGCGGGTTTACAGCCGCGTTTTGGAGTTCGCCGGTGCATGTTCATCTTTGCGCGCGAGGCGGGCCGGCCACGCGACGCGCCAGGTTTCATTCAGGTATTCGAGTCGGCCTGGCAGTGGTTGTGAAGTGTCAATGCGCTGGGTCAACCGGAAGCTGGAGATGCGGGAGTGGGGCGGCGCCACAGTGTGGGCAGAGTGAGCAGTGCGTATGCTGCTGTCAGACAGAGTGATCAAACATGTCTTTTTCGCACCAGTAAGCTTTGGAGGGCGTTCGAAAGCCACAATAGGTCGCTTGCACATGCTCAGCAGCAATGCTGCGGCTAGAAGACCCTTCCCTTACCAACAACGTAATATTCTTTTGAAAGTAGGTCACGGCCATATCAGAATCGGGTATGGGTCGAAAGTAATCGGGCTGCGGGACATCTCTGATGTGAAATACAGGATGCCCTAGTCATGCAGGGATCTTAAGCTGTTGAGAGCCCAGATACGATGAGAAACCTGTAACAAGATAGAGGAAGCCCATAACTTAGTGAATTGCACAGCTTGGTCATGCAGATATGCTGGGCGGCTTTATACCGCTGTCTCGGCTGAGACAAGCTCGCATTTATCTCCAAAAGGAGGCCCCAAAGGAAGGCCATGCCGTGAACGAGAGGAGCCAGATTAATGTAAAGACCTCGTTGATAGAGAGCCAAAACACGGGAGAGCCCATGTCGTGAGGGAGATGAAAAGGCCGTATACAACACAGAGGCTGAAAAGGCCGAATACACCATATGATGTGAACGCCTTGAAGAGATGAGGTCCGTGGTGCAGTTAGAGGCTATCATGGAGGAGCGGTTAGAGGCTATCATAGAGGATATAGTTATGATGTGATGGCGCACGGGCCCAATAGAAGCAAGCACAATCTTGTCTCAGTGCGTTCGTGACATGGGCATCAATGATGCATGCGTGTTGAATGACTTTACGGGGTTCTATAAACCTTGGCACTTTATTGCAATCATAGGATCTAAAACGTATCTGATTATCTTCATTCATGCATTTCTAAAAAAAAGGGATGGCTTGTCTGTGCTTTAGGAAAGGCATAAATCATTTAGTACATAACAAGACACAAACGACATGGTCATCGTCGGTGCTCTTAAAAAATGAGTACATAATTCAGCAATTCACCTTTTGTTATTCGCACTTCGCGAATGAATACGTAAGTCAGTATTCCACTACAGAACGGTAATGGGGGTGCTCCGGGGCCAGTGTCACCTGGGAGGTCCTGAAATCAGACAGAGGGGGGGGGGGGGGGGAGCGGAACGGATTGGGAGCCGGGTACAGTGCGGAGTAAGGGCATATTTCTGCCCAGACTAGAACGGGCCCTATTGTTTTACAGAGTAATGTCCTGTTATGAACAAGAGGAGCTCACGGCAATGTAGGGATCTTGCGTGATGGATGGCCGAGACACAACAGCTGCCCCTGATACGACCGAGCGGCCCCTGTACTGCCGCCCGCCCCTGCGCTGTCGGTGTCTTGATGACGGAGGTCGCGGCGCGGCAAGATGACCACGTCGTAGGCGGCATATTCATGATCCGCGAGGCGTAGACCCTTTTTGCACTAACAAGATACTGACGCTTATATAACTTGCGCTTGCGCTATAATTTGCGATAACTTGCACTTCATAAGCAGAAGCATGCTTCTGTCGAGATTGGGAGAATGTCCTTGGTTCTAGACCGATAGCGGGGGACAGCGGCCCCAAGAAGTCGACATGTCTCACCTGTGGTTTTGCAGCTCTGTGACAGCAGGAACCAGCACCGCTCAGAAAGCCGAGATTCCAGCGAGCGATTGCGAGTTCGTCCCACCCCCGAAAAATCGCGGTCCACTGTGCCGTCAGACAAGCAAGATCAGCGGTGCAGTCTACCTACGTGGGCGCACCTGTTGTACGACGTATTGGCCACCCCGTCAGAGGTGCGCCCGCATGAACAAAGTGCGCTCAGCAGACGGAGACGGCGGAGGCGCACTGTTTTGCCACCGTTGTGTCGGCAGCTAATGACCAGATCGGTAGCGGCGGTACCGTTGGGGTGCCTGGGTCGGTAATTCAGAGACCTTGTCGGTGCCAGGACATGTTGGGCCATGCTAGATGATCTGAAGTCTACTACCATCAGTGCTTAGAGGGGGTAGTATGCTTGGAGAACTCGAAGACCGTTGGCGAAGGCCACGTTCTATATTTGGTATCATATATAAGGAAATATGACACAAATTTAAGTGCTTTGCACCAGCTTCGGGGACCATAGCCCCATTGCGTCCCACCTTTAATACATCCTTGCCAGCTACGGTATGATTTCACCACCCATGGCCACAGCAAATACTGCGGCTCGGAAAATGGAGGAAAGATAAGTATCTGGGCAAATGATTCGGCTCGCAATGGTATTTTGTGCCCGGAAAGACGCGAAAAACGTGTGCTTTAGGAGCGGAATTGGGGAGAGGAACCACGTCTCGACAAAACTGAACAGGGGGCAGAGCTCCACATCTTCAGTGGTG